CGCTCCCAGGTAAGTGAGTTCAGCTGCACTCAGGCCCCAGCGTAGCTGTGGAGGGAATAACGAGCAGTATGTTGTAACCGAGCGGTCAGACGCCTGCATCCAGTCCCACAGAAAAGGGATTATCATTTTTTGCATAATCCCACACACATATGTAATATATGCACACACAGATGCACCTGCTCTCCTATCCCTTGGCTGACAGCTTCTTGGAAGAGAAGGCCGGCTATTCCTGGCTGACTAACAGCGTTTGGCTGGGCTGGACCGAAGCGAGGCTGCCCAGTGTGTAGCCCCACAGATGCTTTCAGGAGGGCAGAGCGCACTGATACAGCCCACCCCCGAAGTAACCTGCCACCCCCAGCTGAGGCACAGGCCAAGGCTGGCTCCAGACCCGCTGCACTGCAGGCTAGCTCTGCACCCTGAGCTTTATTATTACAGTGGTTTTCAGTTGCATTCCAGCCCAGGGACTTGGCTGTGCCCTGGAGCAGCCGGAGGGTACTGGGGGGTGGAAGCAGAGGGGCTGTGGGGCAGGGCAGGCTCTCCTTGTTGGAGATCTGGCTGGGGCAGGGCTGGTGGGGGGAGCTGGGCTGGTGGTGGGCACCCCTGCCAGCACAGCCTCAGCCACCCACCCACCCTCTCACATCTCCTGCAGATCGTGGCCGCCCTGGATGCCAACCCCACGACGAAGCGCACCCAGCTCCAGCACAAGTTTGAGCAAGTGATCGCGCTCATGGAAGATAACATCTACGAGTGCTGCAGTGAAGCCTAGGCCGGCTGCAGCCCTGGAAGTGACCTGCTCTGCAGCGTAGTGCCGGAGGGAACCTGCCTTCAGCCACGGATGCGCCGTGCATCGCCGCTGCCAGGGTCATTCTCAAACCAGCCTCGTGGTGAGCGTGGGCCTGGCCTGTGGCTGAAGGGCTCCCTCACCTAACAAGAAGCCACAAGACACCTTTCCGAGCAGCTCAAAAACCCTCTGGTCTGCACTGTGGCACCCATAATTTATTTGCCGCCAGCCAGAAATGGAGACGTGACGCTTGCGGCAAGCTCAGTTCACCACTTCCCTCTGAGGAGCACCCGAGCAGTCAGCAGCTCCCTGCATCCCTGTTTGTGGCTCCTCAGGGGGAGAGATGGGCTGCAGAAGCCGTAACAATAGACACACAGCAGAAGGGTAGCCTCAGGGAGAAACGAGTGGAGACTGCAAAGGCCACTGGAGCAGTGTCTGAGCTCCCTTCCACACTATCCCTCCAACATCCTTGTTTTTCCAACACCAGGGACTCTATCAACTGTTCACTATCTGCTGCATTCTGTGTATTTTTGTGCCTTTTAATTTTTGTACTGTACGTGTAAACATAACCACTCCTCCACCTGAGAACTGGGCAACACAGGGCACTCAAGGCTGGGACACAGCGGTTGCTTCCCACGTAGCGAAGGCATGGTGAAAGCACTTTATCCCCTAGCAGGGATGGCTGTTACGGAGCCGAAGGGAGCGCATTACACATCCCAGTGTGGGAAGGGATACTCCCACCCCTCCCCAGGTTCCCAGCTCTGCATGCGCAGTGAGCTGGAGTTGCAGTGGGTAGGCAGATAGCCCCCATCAGCCCCCTCTCAGCCAGCCAGTCACAGGCATGGATTCTGCCCAGAAGCAGACGTTCCGATGCAGTGGGTGAGGGGAAGGACTTGTGCCTCGCACTCCCATCTTCCTGCCATGCCGGCTGCACACCCATCTCTGGCACTGCCCCAGCTCAGCCCTGGTTACGCTCCTGCTGACAGCCCGCTGAGAGCTGGCTTGAGCCACTTGCAGGGCAAAACACCAGGTAGCATCTTCCTCCCTCTGCCCCATGTACTCCAGCATTTCCCTGCAGTCGTCACCAAAAACAGGGTCAGTGCTACAGAGGTGTCTTCCTAAAGCAGCTTGTTCTGCTTGCTTCGGCCCCAGCCCACCACGGTTGTCACCCGAGAGCAACCGACAGTGCAGTTTTGCTGCACGTCCAGTCTTTGTTTGGGGCGCAAAGGCAAAGGGACTGGACCCCATCCCGTGGCAGCACCATGCTCATGCAGGCTGGGAGAGCATCTCCAGCACCCCATACCTCTGTACACCGGGGTCAGCAAGCAGGGTCCCTCTGCACAGACCTCAAAACTTCACTGCCATCCCATCCCATGGCATCCGTGCTGGGGCAAGCCCCCTGTCCTGCTTGGTGGCCCATTCTCCTTTCTGCAGCCCGGGGAGCCGTCACGGCTCTGGTCTTCTCCAGCATCACACAGGCCCCTCAGTAGAGGCTGGACCGCAGCTAATGCCACGTGCTTGAAGCCAGCACTCACACGCAGGCAAAGGCAACCTGCCCACGAGAGCTAAACCCAGCCATAGCCACCGTGCTTTCAACCTGCCAAATAGAGAAAAAGAAAAGAAGAAGAAGAAGAAAAAAAGACAAAGTTACTACCTCACTCCAGGCAGGGTCTAAGGTGAGCCTCTGCTACTCATCCAGCTGGCAAGGATGCAACCTGGTATTAGATGACTTTGGTCCACCAAAACTCCTCCTGGGTGACTCGCTGTCGTGGACAGGTGGCCTCCACCCCATCGTTCCCAGAAATGCCGCATTTGTCAGAAGTTGGAACATCAGAATTGTGTGTGTGTATATAGATATCTATTTTAAAACAAATGATAGACTTTATCCTGTATGTTAAAAGGATGGGAAGGGAGGGAAAGGGGAAGAACAGAGCATTGTGGGGGTTTTGGTTTTTGTTTTTTTTTAAAAAAAAAAAGAACTACAGAAGAAGTACATACACTGTGGAGGTTTCAGTGTCTGCTGAGGATGTGGCGTCAGAATAGAAACTCTAAGAATGTAGCTGGGCTACATTTTATTTTGAAAGTGATTTAAAAAGATTCTTGATTTTTTTTTCCTTTAGAAACTGTGAATAGCTGCCAGAGATATAGGCAGGCCCAGCACAGGGAAGGTGAGGTTGAAGAGGGACCAAGGTAGCAGAGAATGTGGAGCTTGGCTGGAGGTGAGGAAAGGGCCATGGAGCAATAGCCCCATATTGTTGAAAGAATCCAGGTGAGCTGATAGTGTAGTTTGCCTCCAGGTGATGTGACTGGGCCATGTATTGGAGCCTATTGCTTTATTATTTAATTTTTCCAAAGTAAAAAAAAAAAAAAAAGTAGTTGCTACAACCATTTTAAAGGAACAACTTTAACAGAGCAGAAACTTGAGGGTTTGTAGTGTTGCCTTGAACCCCTGAGCCCTTTGTACCATGTTTTTAAACTTTGGCACGTGTTGTGGGTGTAGTGCCCTTACCTGCTGTGTCGTGGAAGTGGCAGACTCTTGGAAAAGCCTATCTTTGTAATAAAACAAGGTGCTGAAACCTGTGCAGCGAAGATCCTGCCTGTGTGCACGCAGAGGACACGTGACGTGGTAGAAGACCCCCTGTTGCCACCCACATGGTCAGGCTGCTGTCCTTTGCCCCTCTCCTCCCACTCCCACCCCCCCCAGGTTGCCCACCGCTGCGTCACCCGGCGCAGAAGCACCGGGAGGAGGGAGCTTCTCGGCTGTGTGTACAAGACGTACCATGCTCAGGGCTGGCAGCTCAGCCAGTTAACGACTCGCTCTCCCTACAAGACAGGTTTTTACCCTTCGGTGCTACCCAGAGCACGCAGCAGCCTCACCCCGCTCCTCCTACCACAGCTCCCACCAGAACGGGACCTGCTGTGGGACGATACAGGTGAGGATGCAACCTCGCACCCAAAACGACCAGACACCCAAAGCGCTGTAACCCCGCAGCAGCACCCAGGGCTGGGGACCCATCCCTCTTCCAGGTGCCATGAGCACACAGCCAGGGTCTTCTCCCAGCACCAGCTCTGCCTGCCCTTCAAGCTCCTGGCTTCGGTGCCATGACACCAACCGCAGCCCATAGGTCTTAATAACCATGGCATCGCTAAATCCTCCTTCTTCCACCTCCCCTAGTAAAAGCTGTTCTTTCCAGGCACCAGAGGGATTTTCCTTTTCCCACTAGAAGGTTGATGTGTAGTGAAACTAAATCCAGCCATTAAATTAGCTGGCCTGTCTCAAAGCAAGAGAGTCTCATGTTTCACCATGGTGCCTCGGGAGAGAGGACACAGCTCCTGCCTGGTTCCGTTACAGGACGCTTCCATCTGCTTTGCCAGATTAACCATCACCAAAGGGCCAGGTGAGCTCTGCTCAGTTATTATTGTGGCATCCCCCACCCTGTCCCTGCGGGAGCACAGGTTTTGGATCCATGAAAGATGGATCAACATAGCTAAGGCTGAAGTTTAAAGAGAAGTTAGTTTGCTCAGCTCCTGCTTAAGCCCCAGAGCAAGGCCAGGAGCCTTGGAGGGCATTGGCAAGGCCAGCTGAAGATTAGCAAAATCCTCTTTAGGAGGAGAGTTTTACTTCCACTTATTTTTTCCTACCCAGGAAGACTGTAACCCTTTGCATTATCAGGCTGACCTTCAGAAGGGCTTTGTTAGGTGCAGAGCAAGAGAAATTCAGACTTTTGAAGCTATTAAATGAAAGTGTTCATATAGTTGACCTGCAGGAGCTAGCAAGACAGGTTTAGAGGTGGGTGCTGTGCCACTGATAACAAGAGCACAAGCAATGCTACAGTCTACAGCTAACACCCAAAACGCCTTTCCCGAGCTTTAGAACACTTTTATCTTCCTCTTACCCTGGTTACGGCACAGGCAGCTTCCCCCCAGTGCTAGGGACCCTTCCTTGCCCATGCCATGCACCCGAACCTGCTGCCCCGGCACTCCTGTAATCCCAGCTCAGCCAGGCATTAGCACAAGGGCAGGCAGGAGGGCAAAGGGCCGGACACCTACCCTGCACAGGCTGCAGGTGCCACGGCCACACACCAGCGGGGCTGGCCAAGCCTGAGCTTCACAGTGCCTAGGGGTGCCACCACCCTCTGTTCCACAGACCCCAGAGCCCTCTGCCTGGACCATCACCACCAGCCTGCACACACACAGCCCCCAAGGCGTATCGCTGCCTTTAGCCAGATGTGCCGCTGCAGCCAACATCTGGGGACACAGAGACAGACAGCACACCTCTCCATGAGAGCGGGCAGCTGCCTACAGCACCAGCTCACCACCATCCCACGGGGGCCAGGGCCACAGGATTTTGATGCTGGGAGTGCAGGGGCAGAGACCCACAAGCAGGGCAGCAGTCATGCCATTTCACAGGTGGAATGAAGCAACTTTATTGGTAGGTGAACACAGAATTAAAACCTGTCCTGAGGACTAAAACTGGCCTAGAGCCCAAGGGCCTGAGCCCAGCTGCAAGCAGGGCTGGGCTCCCAGGGGGAGCAGGGCTGCCTGGGACCCCCTATGGGGCCTTCCTGCCCTTGGCAGTGGGTGCTGCCTTCTGCAGCCTGGCCTCCCCTTGGCCAGCCCGGGGCTTCCTCGCCTTGCCTTGACTCCCCTTTGCCTTAGGGGCATCTTGCTGTGCCTCCTTGGCCACC